GGTCCCCTCCCCTATGAACATCAGCAGACTCTGCTAAATGCCAATCGGGGGATCCAGTGGTCTATCTCTAGGTGGCGGGCGCCAAGCATGCCCAGAAAGGTACATGAGGCCAATGGGGATTGAACCCACGACCTCCTCAATGTCACTTGCGAGCTTTACCAACTGAGTTAGGCCGCTGGATGGCCCCGTAATTTTTCGTTTTTTGGGTCCTTTTCTTTGCATTCGTGTAAATGATAAAAAGCATTGTTGGCAGAATGGTACTCGGAGCGGTGCGTCGGTCTGCGGAGCGTTACGCTGCGTTGCGCTAAGGCCCTACCGGAAACGGTAGCGGAAACGAGCGCTAGGCGGCGGAATGCCTCCTCTCTCCGTCCCACTAACAGCCTTCGTCTTCAGTAATTTCGAGGATGGAAGTTGACGTGGGCCTCCTCTCACCGTAGAGATCTATGGTGTGTGCCACCTGTGGAAGACCAGGGGCCAGAGCAGGGTCACCCGCCGGACAGACCTCTCAGACCTCTCAGAAGGAGCGACGTGAATGAATGCAGCCACCCAAGTTGAATGGGGAACGTGTACGGGGCAAAGCCAACTCGGCTCGGCAACAAGGGCAAGCTATTTCGAAAAAGAAGATAGGCATCCTTGTCCGGGGAGAGGCTCAGGTAATATCCACAAAGCCTTGACTTGGTCGGGGAAAATTTTGCTGGTCCGTCCTATTTATTGGAAGCTTCTATTATTAAGTTATATTTTGAGTAAGTAATTAACTCTTGGCGTTAAATAGGACGATGGATTCTGCCGAGAAACTGTCCGCTTGGTCGGACGAAGAAAAGGAACGAGCTAGAGTACTCTTAGCCCAATGCTATCTTGACAGGATCCTTCCCAAGAAAATTGCACCAAACACGATAGAAGTCGGGGACGATTACGTTCGAGTAATTGTCAATCCCGAATTCTACCAAGTGCAAGCAGAGTGGTTGCGCGAACATGCGGTAACGGTTCTGTTCGGTGATGACTCAACGTCCTTGCTAGTCAAGGTGAAGGAACAATTAGTCAGAGTTTATGAGAATGGTTGGGCAACGACGCGTCAAATTAACGCTCCGCCTAAAAGAGGTCTCTTCCACAACAAGGAAATAATCCGGTCACGTACGTTGCTTCAGCGAAAGAGGTAGCGACATGGATGTTGCGAGTAGGGCAAACGGAAGTGGAACTTGGCAAGAAAAAATATACCCTAACCTTCTGATCTTGGATGACAGAGCAGGAACTTTGGGAATGGAGGGAAGTTGCCCGACACCAGTTCTTCTGGATGCGATGCAGCAGGTCCTTGTCGCGGCCCTAGCCTCTCTAAGGGGAACAGTTGAAGACGCTTTCGGAAAAGTGGTAAAGGAATTCTCGGCTTACAAAGACCCGCTGTCTCAAGCCCTATTAAACGTTCGTTTCGACTTGGAGTCGGCAACTCGACTCCGATATAGACGGTACCTGGTCATTGACCTGGGTATTTATGGGTATGTAGAAATAGAGATTGTGTGTGCCACGAACCCATGATGCCCCTACTGCCGCCAGCACTTTCACGCGGAAGGAGATCCGGAGTGCTCAAAGAGTAACCGAAACTCCTATGCCAAGGTGACAAAAGACGGAGACCCAAATAAGAAGAATACCACACCAAGCGACAGGGCGGAGAAGAATAAATCGCCCAAAGGCAAGCAACCCGATGGGTAAGCCCCTACTCCCACTAAAGATAACAGCGATAAAACCAGTACGGAAAAAAACGATGTACCCAGGCTGAAGGATACGGGAAAACGGTCGGAGGATCACGATCCTAAATAGGGATGAGGACCCAAAAATGGATGTGATTTTTTATTTGCATGAATGGATCGTTTTCTGATTTAAAATGAATTGAAACGTGCCATTAGCCGCGCCTCCCTTTTCATCTTCCCCCACCCCTCATCCAGTAGCAGCAGTGGCTATGGTGGCAAGGGGCAACATGAAATCTCCCCTTCACAGTGACAGGAAACTATGCTCGCAGGGGTCCCCTCTAGATAGACTTACGAGTAGGTAGTGAAAGGCAAAACCAAAAGTTGAGAGAAGAATATAGAAAAATAAAAAATAAAAAAAATTGAAATAGCACATAAAACTATGAAGAAGAAGTAAGATCATGGGCCTCGCTGCCCTACTCTAAACTCTCGAATTTTCGAGAGTGGGACGTCGCTGCACTTGCTCTCGATCGGAAAACTCTCGAAACCCGATCGAGAACTGTCAGCGGGAACTCTATATCGCCACTCTTGAAACGTCGAGAGTCCCCCGCCTGCAAAAACTGAATTTGCAAGTGTCCTAGGGAGTTGCCCGCCGACGGGCTCGGTTTCGAGAGTGGACCTCCTGTCCCGGCGGCAAGACTTTGTCCCCTAGCGCAGTGGTGCAGCTCCTCTGTCGAGTGGGACGACGCGCAGGGTTTGGAGAGTTCATCTTGTGTGACAGTTTATAGAGTAAGTGCAGCGAAGGCCTCTATTTCCAGAATCTCGCCTCTCTGACAATGCTAGACGAACTCTCGAAATATTTCGAGAGTCTAGAGTAGTGCAGCGAGGCCCCATGTGTAGAAGCAAAATATTGCCCTCGAGGTCAGCAAAATGCCGCCCTCGAGAGCAACAAAATGCCGCCCTCGAGAGCAACAAAATGCCGCACACAAAAGGCAGCAAAAAGCCACGCGCGGATGATGGAGGGGATACGCATGGCGGCAGGGCGGCGCAAGTGTGAACATCACTTGTTTTCTACCTACTCGCCACCTTCACCATAGCCATGCTTGGAGGCCGCGCGTGGAAAATTTGTGCGCGAAGGTGGAATCCAGCTAGCAGATTAGGGATGTCCTTGAACCGCTCCGTGGCAGTGTCTACACGTAGGAATTTCGGAAGCAGCCCATCATGAAGAAAAGAATGCGACCACAGGTATAATGCTTGCTCATACGCTCAGGGGAGAGGGAATTTGACGTCAGATTGTCCTATTTATCGAGGCTTTGATTGTTCTCGTTGTAGGGAATAAAAGTTAGAATAGGAATAGTCAAATTTGGGATTAAATGTTGATATTGTTATTGTATTGCTGTTTGACTAATGCGATGGGGGATGCTGTTGACCCCCCATCCCCTCCCCCTCCTGGCAACCCCCCTCACAACGAGGACCAACGAATCGGGGAGATCTTATCTCGTTGTTTTAATGATGGAATCCTCCCGAGAAAAGATCGCCCCAACAAGGGTGGTGAGGGGGGGACTCCGAGGCTTTGTGCGCGTAGAAATGAACTCGGAATTTTTCCGCATTCAAAACGAATGGCTGACCGAACATGCGGTCTCCATTTTTTTTTGCGACGACTTTCCACTTTGCCCCCAGCCGTTAAACAACGACATATGTATGAAAATGGATGGGCCAAATCGGGAGAAGTCAACGCCCCATCAAAAAGAGGGGTAATTCATAACAAGGGGTACAATTTAGTGACGTACATTGCTGCCGCTAAAGAGGTTGCTGTCTTCCTCCGTCGCAAAGGGCATGACAAAATCGAATTAGACGGTAAGCAATATACAATAAAATTTCATCCCTGGATGACTGAAAAAAAATTGTACGAATGGAGAGATGCTCTGAGCTACAAATGTTTTTGGGTGAGATGCCTTCAGGTCCCGATAAGTGGCCTGGCGGCCCTGGCAAACGCTGTTGAAGATGCCTTCAGGAAAATCCTCAAAGTTCACCAAACTTTCAAAATAGCGAGGGCCCCAGTTTTGATGAATATCATGTTTGACTTAGAACCGGCTGCTCGACTGCGCTATGAACAGACATTGTGTATTGATCTTGGTAATGGGGGTTACACTGAAGTGGAAGTGGCTTCTGTTGATTCCCCATGGTGTCTGGTCTGCCGTAGATACTTCCATGATGAGTCAGATGAGTCCTGTCTGAGGTATGGTAGAAAGGGAAAGAAACATGTACCACCTTCGGGTGGAGAAGGGACAGGCACCGCTACGACCTCAATAGAAGGAGGGGGCGGAGGGGCTGGACGAGGAGAAGACCAGGACGGAGGAGGAGAACGAAGAGACAGTGGAGGAGGAGGAACGAGTCGATGAGAAGGAACTTCATCCAGAAAATGGGTGGGTGGAGGAGGCGCGACGGGATGTGACCGTGAGGGAAGAGGGGGGAGTAAGGGGCCTCAGGGGATTCAAGGGGGTGGACCACAGCAGCACAACCCCACCCAGCAGGGAACGGCTGGGGGGCAATCTGTTAGAAGCCCCCCYCCCAAAAGCCCCCCCCCAAAAGCCCCSCCCCCCCCCCCYCCCCYCC